TTCAATTCTGTGTACCTGCACCAAGTCTGCTGATAAGTTCCAGTCACAGGCATGCTTTGTATTGGGGTGAAGACGTACAAAACTGTCCTGGCAAAATACCCCAGATGTAACTTTGCTAGGGAAAATGCAGTTTTTCAAGCTATTTTTCATTCATGAAGAGTCAACTTCAACCCCACTAACTCCTTTTAAGATGTATATATAGTTTGAAAACTGCAACAGTTTCCCTGTATCTGGCTTGTACCTGGGGATTAAAGTGATGTTGCAGTCTGTGTGCCAACACAAAACACTGATAGTCTTGTTGCACAGCATCAGCATTGTACTATTATGTCCATTTCTTGCAAGCCTTATGTGGTTTGTATGACACAACTTGCCATCCCTACTCTGTGGTCAGATGTTTGTGAAGATTCAGTGCAATTCTGTTTCCTAGCAAACATAAAAATGGTTAAAAATTGGAGTGTAATGCAGAATTCTGGTTTTTACAGTGGCTTTAAAAACAATTGGAGTAAAATGTTGGTAAGTCCTGTATGTAACTGACTTAAAATCCCCTGTGAAGTTAGAATTTGGTAGAGAATGCTGTTGACCTTTTTCTTAAGAGACTAAGTCAAGTTTTGTTCTTATATTTAGTAAAAAAAAGATTAAGGGTTCTTGATAATAGAATCTGTAATGTTCTAGGAAAATCTGTTTATTTACCTTACAGAATAAAATAACTTCCCTGTTTTCGATCTTTGTATCATAACTCCACAGCATTTAAAATATGCAAAATGTTATTCTATTGAATTATCACTATCAAAAATGCTGGAGTATTCTTCCACTAGTTGTGTTTTTGTCTTCAACAGAAGGGTTTGGGCCCTTTAAAGAGGGAAATACTTTGCCAGTGTTACTGTCTTCACTGGTCTATTGCCATTATAGACAAATAAAATCTGAAAAAATGTGAATGGAAGTGAATGTGCTAATAGCTTAGAGGGTTGCAGAGTGAATTAGAGGCCTTCTGGGCTCATCATTCAGAAAAAAGACACTAGAATGCCTGTTGTCATGGGAATGCTGTTGGTTTGGTTTAGAGTTATTTTGCCTTTATACAGTACTAATAGTTTCCAAATGGCAATTATGCCTAGTGTTGTAACTGTTTTTAACAGATCCTTGCAGTCTGTAAGGGGGAAAGAAAAGACAAAAGTTTAATAGTTGGTTGATCTTGGAGCTGGGCTCACAAAGTTTGGTTCTGTTCCAATCTTGGTCATATGTCTTCTTTTACCCTGGACACATCACTGTGGTCTGCCTTTGGGCTGTTTTGGTGGCAACTTCAAGTGGAGTGAGCTGTGTCTTTGGGTCCTTTTCAGTATTGCCATCTGTAGCATTACTAAGTGGAACATACCATATTTATACCTTCTTTAAAGATACCTGCTCTTCAGTTGACATCATATGATAATTGAAGATTTTATTTTATCCAAATTAAAGTAAGAAGTAGGTTTCTTATTATGGAGGCAAGGCTTAAAATCAAATCCAAACATAAAATGAAGTCTTGAATCCTACATGACGAGGGATAAAGAGGGAGAGAAGCAAAGAAGCCAAAGAAGATTCAGAATGACAATAAGGGGAATTTTGAAATTACCAGACCAAAGGGGAAAAGACAGGCAGCAGTTTGATCTTAATACTTAAAAGCAATTTAAGGGAAGTGGCAATCTTCTTAATAGTCTGGCTAGAGTGAAGTACCTATCTAAATGCCAATCTAGTTGTTTCTTCTCCTTTCTATCTTTCAAAATTTCACCTCGATTTATATATAGAAAGAATTCTTTCCTCAGAGGGCATTCTTTTAATTTAGGACCTTAATCCTTCAAGCAGTTGGGCATGTAAACAAATTTGTTGCCCACATACAATAAATTATCAATTCAGTTTAACAGATAGGTGCACATAAATATTTTCAAAATTAGGGAAATGTGACATCTCTATAGTAACACTTCAAAAAATTAGGTTGATAAAGCAAGAAGTCTACTTCTATTTGCAGTATATTTCTTTAGGTTTCCTTTTTCCTTCTTTTTTTTTTTTTATGTTTTTGCTGGTTTTTTTCCTCTCCCCTTTCATTTGTTCTACTTGCACTGGGAGATCCCCTTTGCATTGGGCTAACAGTGATGATATTTCATGGTTGTATCACCCTCTTTATGTGGCAAAAGCAACAGAATTTTTTCCTCCTCTCCTCCTGCATCCTCCAGTGTGTTGTCACTGTGATTCTGAATATAAGAACTTCCATGTGATAACAGGGAAGTGTTTATAATTTATTCTAAAGTATTGCAAAATTTAAATTTGATTAACTCTTATTAGAATTAATCCTCACTGGGGTCTGAGCAGGGATAATAAACTTCTTTCATCCCCCCTCCCCCTTTTTTTTTTTTTGCCACATAGAGGACAGTAGAGAATCAAAGATCAAGAAAAGGGTGGGAGAAAGAAGAAATAATAGATCACGATGAACATGAATTGGTATGTTTACAGAAGGGTTACAGTTCTTCACACTTTGAAGAAAGAAATTCTAAAGGAAGACAGTCACATGTTTACAAATCTCATAAGAATTGAAAGATTTTGATAACACCATGAATAAAGGAGGTTATTACCAATTACTAGCAATTACAGTAGGTAGGTAGGAGGAGATGGGAGCCCATCATCCTTGTTAGCCTTCCAACAGAGAACAATATCTGAATAAAAATCTGGATCTTCTATATCATTATGGGAGAGGAACTAATTTATTGTGTCCATCTCTTACCATTAGTAATTTTTTAAATCCCACCTTCTTGCTGCTCTTCTTCCACGTGCACATGGATGTGGAGTATGTTATTTGAATTTCTCTCCATCTTTTTTGAGGACTGTGATTAATTTACATTTATTAACTTTATCTGTCCAATTGGTTTATCCATCCGCTGGCAGTGCTATTTTTTCCCCTGGAAAACGGAAATCAGAAAAGAGAAAGAGAACTTAATTAGCAGACTTTATTCTTTGAACTGAATTGTGTCAACACTGTGGTCACAGATGGGACTCAAGAATGTTAACAGCAAATTTACTGTGCCTTAATCAATGTAACATGGTAACTGGGAAGTGCAAGAATCAAACCCCACTTTGAATAAAACATTTTTGAGCATGTATGCTGAAATGTCCTCTCAAGTATAATCAAAGAATGTTTTATGAAGGTTTTAGAATGAATGGTTTTAGATTAATATTGTGGTTGTAGAATGGAAGATTAGAAATCAATTTGTTTTCAGTTAAGTTGTGTTCTGTGACTTTGAAGAGGTAAAGATGTATATTTGACATGATCAGGCTTTTGTAGCACAGAGGAGTGTGCAGTTAGAATTGTAACTGCTGTATGTGGTTGTACCTCCTGCTGTGTGGGATTGAGCTGGTTTTCACTGCATATACACGTGTTAAAGATGTGAGGTCAGGAGCTGCAAATGTTTTTGGATAAGCACCTAATTCAGCTGATGACTCTGCTGTCTTATTTTGGTTGGTTGATTATCAGACACTTCCGTTGTGCTTTCTCATTTTAAATGTCATTGTTTGTATCTATGCTCAGAATGGTGATTTTTATCAGGTGTTTTAAAGACAGAAAAAGTGTCTTTTTAACTGATTTAGAATACTGAATCTCAGGGCAAAGAATAGGTCATTGTCCAAAGTCACATAGTAGCTCATCTGGACAGCTAGACCTTTGCTGATGCCTCCCTATCTCATGTCCTTCCCCACTGCTCCATCTCTCCTCCCCCCACTTCTCCAGCTATATCTTGACTTCTTTTTGCTTTCTTCCCTAACTCAAGAAAGCTTTCACGCTATCTCAAATTCATAGATACTTTCCACTTTCATTTGTAGATGTGCAAGCAGCCATTCTAAGACGAAGGACTACATCTTTAGGATGGGGAGGTACAAGAACCCCCTCCTGTTCTGCTTTTGGTAGCAGATGGTGATTACTGAGGAGTAGAAGAATAAAAGCCTTTAAGGGATTTCAGTTATTTAATTTCTTCCTTTGATAAAGAAGTTTATGTACATCTGCATCAAGTTCCTGTCATAATCTTTGGTGATTAATCCTGTTGAGACAACCAGTGCACCTTCTGTCTTTACACATATTTACATTGCTTTATTAGAGTATACATAGATGCATGGATGTCAGAAAGCATTGGCAGTGATGCAGGAAGTTTTACTTGCTCTTATAAAGTGTTTTAAAAATAATGCTGTGCTCAGTTAGATGAGGACAACATCTGTAATGGGTTTCTTGAGGCAGATGGTAGATGAGAGAATAACATGGGTATAATTTCTAAGGGGAGGAGAAATGAGTCAGCTGAATGAAAATCACAAGCACTTCTTTTTCTTTTCAGTATTTACTGTGAAATTCAGATTGTAATACCTCCTACTGTTTTATGTCTACCTCTCCATATATTTCAGGCCCTGGTGTACAGTAGTTTAACTGTAAAAATGGACCTGTGGTTGTTGTAGTCATTTAACTGCAGTTTAAGGACATAGATTTTAGTGAAAAGCTTTCATTACGTATGACCTAGAGTATTACGTGGAGTTAGAATTTCACTGGACTGTGTAAGGTTTCTGGAATGTTTTGTTTCAAAGAGGAAAGAGCCAACAAAGCTAAGGCTGTGTCTGTGTAATTTCTGAAAAGGAAATGACTTCTAGAGTATTTGCAAATGCCACACTGTGTGAAATGCGTGGGTGAGCAATAGACAATTAGTTACCTTCAGTGCTACAAAACATAACACCACAGAACTTCGTGTTTGTAGTTCTATTTCCTGTATCACGGTCTTGGATGACTTTTAGGCTCCTTTTCTCACACTTAAGGTAGCGAGACCTTTTATATTGACGTTAATGAGGTTGCAGGTTTTCTCATCTGCGTCTGTCATCAGAGTCACCCAAGAAAGTCAGAATACACACTCTGTCCTAATGCTTGGGACTACTAATGTGAATAAACCCTCCCCTCCTTTACTTACAGAACTAACATGTTTGAACTTTTGTTACTGGTATTTCAGGACATCCAAGCTGAGATTGATGCCCACAATGACATCTTCAAAAGCATTGATGGAAACAGACAGAAGATGGTGAAAGCCTTGGGGAACTCTGAGGAAGCTGCTCTGCTCCAGCACCGGCTTGATGACATGAACCAGCGCTGGAATGACCTGAAGGCGAAGTCAGCTAACATCAGGTGAGTAATGAAAACATCAAGGTGTGAATGGAGCACAGTTCCTGTCTTCTAAAAGGCTGAAGTGAAATAGCAATTCTCTTTCAGCAAGGACTCTTGAGTGCAAATATAAAGTCTTGGTGAACTTGTTCACCAGGTAGGCTTAACTACGTCTTCTTGTCTCTCTAGCGCCCCACACTCATTACTTGCCAATCTTGTACAAAAATTTCCACAAAGTACATTGAGTTTTACCTTATTGTGTATCAATAGCAATGTCAGTGAAATAATTCTGTAAATCTGCCATTACTTTGAAGAGAAATCAGGAGTTTTTTGTTTTTACTACTGAAATTAGTAATTTGATAGGACTTGCATCTTAAGTGTCTTGCTCCATGTAAGTGGTATTAGATTTTTTAATTGCTGCTATTCAATTAAGAAATGTTTGCAAATACTAATTAAGGAATGCATTTTACAGTTTTTTGACCCTATCGGTGCCAAGCTCAAGTGTAGTAATTGTTAAAACTTTGTGATATAATTTCTGAAGTAGATACAGCCATATTCATTATTATGAATCAAATTCCACAGAAAAATTAATTATATAGAAAGTAGTTTCTAGAGCTTCCAATTGCAACTACTTACTTGTTGGTTTAAGAAAATTCTTTTTTTAATAGAGCAGGAGAATGTTAAGCATCCATATGAATTTTCTGAAGGCCAGAAAAATGATCTGAGCTTGAAATTCAGGCACAAGAGTTAGAGAGTGAGATGGAGGGGAAAATGTGACCAACCTGCTAAATAGTTATATGAAATAGGTAAATCAGCTCTGTGAAAGCCCACAGATACCAAGGAACCCAAGGAATAAAGCAGTTTGGTGTGGGGGCTTGCAGAGACTGGCTCCACCACATAAGTAGTTTAATGCAAGAGCTGTTTAACTTGGCTTGTTATGAGCTCTACTCACAAGTAGGTCAATGTGAGAGAAAGATGAAAAGGTGCTCTTAAGAGAGTAACTTAGCAACTGTGGAGTCCTAGCAAGAACCATTCAGTTGCTTGGCCGTTCCTAGGGTTGGTCAGAATTTGGGAGAAATTTGTGGCCAAGAAATTGTGGACCTTCAAGCCATTCACCATGGACAGCTATGAGTTCCAAGGCTGTAATACCGAAAGAGTGGTTGTGCAGTCAGTGCTCAGAAAAGTGAGAATACATGCTTTTCTGAATACAGACCCGTTTCACTTCTGTGTAGATATGGCACGTGTATCCCTGTGGGCAGCATTAACGTGTTTGTTGCTCTGCTGGTACCTGCAGTGCTGCAGAGCCCCATGTCACTGAGCTCAAAGTGGAAGATGGGCAAGAAAGAGAATACTGGTGCAAATCTAAGACAAGTAAATTAACCTTTCAAATCCCAGTCACTACTGAAAAGTGGCAATTTCTGAGTTCCTGTATTTTGCACTGTCCTTTGATTGCAGACCACTTTTCTAACTCGTGCAAGTGTCCTAAAAGCTTTCATAGGGAAAAACCAAAGCACAGAACTGTTATGAAGTCTGTTTGCCTTTAATTTTTGCCTTCTTGATGTATCTTTTCACAAGGATGAATCGGAAAGCAAAACTGTTTGGATGAGCATAGTGAGAACAGCAAATAACTGTGTTAGATGCTAGGACTGATAACTGAAAAACTGATTGTTTTGTTATAGATTTCAGCTTGGGATAGTGCTTCTAAATTAATGTTTCTCTAAATTTTTTAGAATATTTTCAGGTATGTGTAAATTCTGATTATGCTGATTTTTAATTGCTGAAAGTACTGCTTTCCCGTACAGAGATAGTGTCAGTCACTGTGTTGACTTTATTTTCTTGCTACTGTAACTAAAGAGAGTTGCAAACTGGAAAAGTAGCACTCTTGTGACATATTTTTAAAGGCATGGAAGGTATTTAAACCTCTACTTGTAGTGAGTATGACACCAACTGAGAGGACTATATCTCTCTTTGGAATTACTTTAGACTTATTCATGCTTCTTTCTTTTTCTCTCTTTATTATCTTATTCCCAGGAAGAAAACAAAGCTACAGATTTCTGGGAGCCTGCATTTTAAAGCCAAATGTTTAGGAGAGATTATTTTCTCCTGGGGCAGGAGGTGTGAGGATGTTAGTGTTTGGGGGAGGGTAGAGGTAAGAGTTTGGGAGAAATGAGCAAGAAGTATATTTAGACCACCCACCAATTGCTTTTTATTCCCTGTGTTACCTTGTCACTCAGCAGGAAAAGTGCTGCCTCCATAGCAGAATCAAAACCTGAGGTGGTCTCCAGCTGTGAAGAGAGCCTCACAGGGTCAACAGAAGGGGAGTGTGTCAGAGTTGCTGTTCTTTTGGATGATTTTATTTAGGCTGGGAGGAGGGAGGGATGCTCTCAATCTGATCAGTTGGATGGGAGCATCTGTGTTTTTCAGGCTCATCCAGAATTCCCATAGGAGTGCTTTTGAATACCAGGTGGTTGATGCTAGTGAGTATTTGTGCTCCAACCAGTGCTCAAAATCAATCATCTCTAACCGACCTCTTTTGGATTAAATTCTTAAACCATGTCTTGATCTGGTAAATTGCCAAGACTGCCAATTCTTTTATCATGTGAGCACAAACACCTGAAGCTTTGTTTGTAGGTTGTTTATTAGTAGAAGTACCAATTCCAAAGCAAAGGCCAGAAATCCTGACTGAGAACAAACAAGCCCAAGAAATACTTCAGAACTTCAGCCTGGTTTATTTCCTCTCTTTGATAATGTCTGTATGACAAATGTAAAGGTGATACTAAAACTTTACATTGAAATGTAAATTGGAGCATATGTTGGTTCCATTGCTCCTGTGCAGCATTTGATTTGAATGGGGTTTGCTGAATGCGTGTCTTTGCTTCTCAAGAGAACTGAATGCTTCTGTCTACTTTTCAACTGCTGCATCTTGCTTTTATTTTCAGTATGGCTTTTGTAAGATTAGAAGGGTAATATTCAGGATAAATCCAGGCTAATGTGATGTAGTTTTCTCTTTTTTTTTTTTCCCTTTAATGCCTTTCTGAATTTTGAAGAGAGAGGTTAACTCACTTAGTGTTCAGGGAAAAATTTTTAAGTCCCTCTTAGTGTAGTCAGTTTCCTCCCCACCCCTTATTGCTCTACCCCTGTAAGATTAACTTGCACTTGGCTTTAAACCATGTACTTGTGATGCTCTGCTACTGTCAGTGATGTGGCATGCACACAAATAGTGGTCAATTACAGTGCATTTGATCTAGTATCATATCCCATATAATTTACATTATTATCAAACTAGTTTTTTCACTATTAATACTGTCTCACTATTAACTATGTCTCCCTTAAATTGTCCTTTAATTAATTGGAGTTTTTTCCTTCCTTACAAAGCTCCAATTTATTTTGTATGCAAGAATTTTGCTTAATAATTAGAACAGAATCTCAGAGCACTGGTTTTTAGAGGTGAGAGCTGCTTATATGTGCTAGAGACAGTAATAAGTCATGATGAATAGAGATTTCACTATTGAAAGTACAGAATGCTATAGATCTGAACACTACTTCACAGAATCACAGAATATGTTGAGTTGGAAGGGACCCACAAGGATCATCGAGTCCAACCCTGAGCCTTGCACCAAGGGTCACACTGTGTGCCCAGGAGTATCATCTGAATGCTTTGAACTCAGGCTTCATGCTGTGACCACTTCCCTGGGGAGCCTGTTCAGTGCCTAACCACCCTCTGGGTGAAGAGCCTTTTTCTAATATCCAACCTAAACCTCCTCTGACACAACTTCACGCCATTCCCTCAGGTCCTAACACTAGTCACCACAGAGAAGAGATCAGTGCCTTCACCTCCTCTTCCCCTCATGAGAAAGTTGAAGACTGCATTGAGGTCTCCCCTCAGTCTCCTCTTCTCCAGACTGAACAGGCCAAGTGACCTCTGCAGCTCCTCATATGGCTTCTACTCAAGGCCCTTCACCATCCTTGTGACTCCTCCTTTGGACACTCTCTAAGAGCTTAATATCTTTCTTATTTTGAGGTGCCCAAAACTGCACACAATATGCAAGGTGAGGCTGCCCCAGTGCAGAGCAGAGTGGGACAATCCCCTCCCTTGACCAGCAGGCGATGCTTTGCCTGATGCCCCCCCCAGGACATGGTTGGCCCTCCTGACTGCCAGGGCACTGCTGACTCAGATTCATCTTGGAATTGACCAGGACCCCCAGGTCCCTTTCCGTGGCCACTGCTTTCCAGCATTCTTATTCCCCAGTTTGTACAAACATCCAGGGTTGCTGCATCCCAGGTGCAGAATCTGGTGCTTTTTGTTGTTGAACTTCTTGTGGTTGGTGATTGCCCAGCCCTCTAAGAGGTCTCTGCAAGGCCTCCCTGCCTCCGAGGGAGTCAACAGCTCCTCCCAGTTTTGTGTCATCTGCAAACTTGCTCAGTATCCCTTCCAGTCCTGTGTCCAAGTTATTTATGAAGATGTTGAAGGGCACAGGGCTTAAGATGGAGCCCTGTGGAATCCCACTAGTGACAGATCACCAGTCTGATGTTATCCCATTCACTGTTACCCCCTGTGCTTGACCTGTGAGCCAATTGTTTACCTACCACATAATGTGTTTATCCAGCTGTGCACTGGACATTTTGTCCAGAAGGATCCTGTGAGAGGCAGTATCAAAAGCTTTACTGAAATCCAAAAAGATTACGTCAACTGGCTTTCCTTGATCGACTAGGTGGGTTACCTTTTTGTAGAAGGAAATGAGGTTTGATGAACAGGACTTTCCTCTCATAAAACCATGCTGGCTTTATGTGACTGTGTTGTCTTTCAGGTGTTTTTCAGTACTTCTCAGAATAATCTTCTCTATGACTTTACCGAGCACTGAAATGAAACTGACAGGCCTGTAGCTTCTGGTGTCATCCTTCTTGAAAACTGGGACGACGCTGGCCAGCTTCCAGTCAGCTGGGACCTCTCTGGATTCCCAAGACAGCTCAAAAATTATTGAGGGAGGTTTTGCGATGACATCAGCCAGCTTTTTGAAGGTTCTGGGATGAATCCCATCAAGCCCCATGGATTTTTAGGGGTCCAGCTGGAGCAGCAGATCCTGCACAGTTTCAGGGTTGACTGGGAGTTGATAATTCTCACAGGCATGGTCCTCCAGTTCAGGGCACTGAGACCCCCTTCATCCATGTTGAAGACAGAGGCAAATAAAGCACTAAACACCTCTCCCTTGACTCTGTCCCTGTCTGTGAGGTGACCATGCTCATCCTGTAATGGGCCAATTATATTTCTATACTGCCTATTCCCATTAATAGGGAGCCCCTGGTGGTCTAGTGGTTAAGGACGTGGCGCTGTCACTGCCGAGTCCCAGGCTCGATTCCCGGTCAGGGCCACTCCCTGGGCAGATGGAGCTCATTAGCCCTGTAAGGCAATCCATCTACGTCCTGAGGGCCTCGCTGCCACCGTCCAAGCGTGCTTGGCCCCAGCAGATGAACCTCAGGATTAAAGGGTGGGCTCAGTTCCGCGCACACTGTGTCTCACCTAAAAAATCCAATGCGCAGGCTGGAAGGCTTTGTTCGCGAAGACTGGCCAACACACACATTCCCATTAATATACTTAAAAAAAGTAATTTTTTCATTTTTATTGTCCCCCACATTTCTGACCAGCTTCAACTCCAGCTGAGCTTTGGCAAATTTTCTCCCTACAGCAGCAAGCAGCATTTGTGAATTCTTCCCCTGTCACTTGACCTTGCGTCCCCTGGACACACACCTTCCTTCTTTGCCTTATATCCAGAGAAAATCCGTGCTCAGCCAACCCAGCCTTCTGCCTTACCTCCTTGACTTCCAGCATCTGGGAATTGCTGCTCCTGTGCCTTTAGGAGGTGATGTTTGGAAAGTGACCAGCACTGATGGACCCCACCACCTTGAAAAACATTTTCCCAGGGGACTTCGCGTACTAATTCCCTGAGCAGCCTGAAGTCTGCTCTCCTCATGTCTAGAGTTGAGGTTTTGCTGGCACTTTTCCTACTGTCAACAGAGATTTCAAACTTGATTACTACTGTAGGCAGTAAAAGGTTGCTTCTAGCAAGTGCTTAATTTTTTTTTTTTTTTTCCGAAATAGTTACCCAAGTGTTTTCCTTCACTGAATTGAAGGAGAATAAATTCCTCTTCGTAAAGTTAGTTTATCCTTTTCAGAAATGTGATTGGGTTTTTTTGCTATGTGTTTTTCTCTCTTCATACACTCCTAACGTGACTTCTTTCTTGGTTCATCTATCCTAGTATCGCTGGGAGATCTCAGTGTGACCAAACCTAAGCGTGTGTTGAAATTAACCTTACAGCACAAATGTCCCAAACATTCACTCAAATGCCATTTGAGATGATAATACAAGAGAAACCAGGTGAAAGTTTTAAGGTGCAAGTCACGGTGAATCAGAAAAAAAAAAATAACTGACAATGTGCAAAATAGGAAAGGGAGTAGAGTTTAGTTCATTCATCCATCAGAAGCAGGACAGGAATTTGCAGAGCTGGTGTCAGACTACGATGAAAAGCATTCAGCTCTATTCCATCACTAGCGAGGAGAAAAAAATTGTTGTTTACTGGTATAAACTAAGCACATGCTGGTCTCGAATGATTCCATAACATAGAATGAATGCAGTAAAAGAGGAGTAATTAGTCCCTGTTGAAGGTTTCTATGCATCTTGTAGACACTTGAGGGAGAGGGCATCAAGTCAAGGTATTTTGAAAAGTATAGAAAAATATTGTGGAATTTGACTTTTTTTTTTTGTCAAGTAAACTAAGGAATAACAGATTCAGTGTGTTAATCCTTTGGTAACTCACCACTGACTAAAGAGAATGTATTAAATAACCTGTATTACTTATTGATATGTTCAGCAGCACAAGTAATTTGCTGTTGGTCACTGCTGAGAGAGCTTGCTGCTTTTTGCGTCTTGAGAGTCAAGGTCCTCGCATGAAAGAGTTCAGTTCTGCAGTGCTTTAGCTCAGAAAATTACGCTTGTGATTCATGTGCAACAGTGGTGAAGTCACAACAAAACACAGCGTTGTTTTATATTGCTTAGACATGAAGTGTTCATGGGTTTAGATGGGATAAAGCATCAGGTACATTTGTCTGTTTTCCCCTATTTCTCCTCTGCTTAGTTTGATTTGCTGTGTAAAGTATTTGAAGTACAGGATTTTTTAACGTGAAGTTGCTTTTGCACTTGAAACATTCTTATCTTACTGATGGAGTAATTTTGTTCATTGCCTGGTTTTGCTATTCAGGGCTTTAAAGATGTTTTTATGTTGTTTCACAGGGCTCACTTGGAGGCCAGTGCAGAGAAATGGAACAGATTGCTGACATCCCTGGAAGAGTTAATCAAATGGCTCAATGCGAAAGATGAAGAACTGAAAAAGCAAATGCCTGTTGGAGGGGATGTTCCAACCTTACAGCAGCAGTATGACCACTGCAAAGTAAGTTGCTTAAGTTTTATAGACAAATATGCTACTGTGAATTATTGAATGAAGCAAATTTTTGAACAGGAGAAATGATGAATACTTCCTAGTGACTAATTTCTCCACCCCTTTTGCTTCCACCCTTACCCAGTAAAACACAACTGAGACATTCTCTATAAAATTTAATCTAAAGGATTTCTGAGAGACATATTCAGTTTCCTGGTATTTTTGGAATCCAGCCAGGTAGAACTGCTGTTTTACTCTAAAATTAAGGAAGGCATACAAAAATAAGAACTGAACAAGAATTGTAAAAGGAATGTTGAATGTAAGTTTAGTAAACTTATGTCAAGTGCCTTTCTGCATGTTACTGAACTGACCAGTAATATCATCACCCTACCCATGCAGATTTATACTGCAAAGATGATTCCAAACTGTTTTTGAGAACTAAGAATTACCTCTGTCTTGTACTGTTGTAACTGTAACATGTTGTTCTAACTTTCTGATTTTGGTACTCCTGTTCTGGTTTTTTACATAATAGGGTATTAATTTTTACATATTTTTTGACAGAAAAAAACTCTGTTGCGCACACTTTTCTTCATTCATGTAGACTGTAGAGTCTATCTTACCAGCTCTGATCAGTAATTAAGTTAGGATGTTTTCGCCATTGGAAAAATTCATTGTAATAAAGCTGGTTCCATCTTACCATCATATTTGTTCATCTGTATGGTGTAAATGGGGAAGGAGAACAAATGCAGCTTTATATAGCTAATTGCGTGACAAGTGTGTTGCTCTCTGCCAACACTACACTTTTATCTTTTCTGCTTTGGTGTTTAGTGAGGGCAAAAATTGAATTTCGAAAAACTTAGTAATACAGAAATACGTGGAGTACTGTGGGATATACAGAAAATGTAGTCTGAAATGAGCATCGTTTGAGACTTAATTCCAAAATAGAAGAGCTTAAGGAAATCTGCCTGTTTTTCCTTAATTTAAAGTCTTTTAAAGTAAAATTATTAGCATAAACTCAGGATCTTTGTTTCTTGAGAGTTCATCTCTTCTTGTTCTTATCCACTTAAAGCATCATGCTCTGTAGGCACATCTGCTGTGTACGTTTACTAATGATCAAATGGGAGATTATTAGTGCCAGAGTGCAATAAGAAGCTGGAAAAAATCCAAATACATTTTGAAGGAGGTCAGTGGAAGGTGATAGATCTCTACAGATCATTTTCTAAAGGCTTGTTTATGTCTCATGCTAGATTACAGTATGTGCATGATAATAGCAAATAATACTGGTATTACTTCTCATCTGAAGATCTCAAATTGATTTATAAAACTGGGGTTTTATATGTCATTCTGAAATTGAAAAATTCAGTAGTAATGGTGCTGGATTGCTCATTTGGATCACTAGTGAACTGTAGCAGTATGAAGGAGAGAGCACCTCTGGGTTGTTTAATCCTTGCCCTTATGTTTGAAGGATAACTGGTATTTTTTTATGTGTTGAGGTTAAGACTCTAGTGAGTGCATTCAGGAGCTTTTGGAGGTTATTCTTTCATTTTTCAAAAAGGCAATATTCTTGCAATGTCATGGTGAGTATTGGATATAGTTGTCTGAGTCAAGTATATAATACACACTGTATTAGTGGTTTGCAAAAGCACAAAGTCAAAGCAACCCTGCACATCACTTTATGTTTTTAATACACCTATGCAAGCAAGAGCACAGTATGCAATTGCAGATATTTCTTAGATTATGACTGGATGACTATTTCCTAGAAGTTTTTTTGGTAGGAGGAACCAAAAGATTCCTGTATGTCATGTAATGATTCTGTGCTATACCAAACATGAATTATAAGCACATGGTATTTGGCATTCTGTTTAAGTGTCGCTTATTAGTTATTGCCAGAGGAGGGGAGCTGAACCTCATCTGTCTGTTGGTTTGATTCTCCATGGCAGTGCTTTACTGCTGTTTCTTAGCAGATTCATTCCTTGCTGAAGCTGCAATTTGCTAATAAACTTCATTAAGCTGAAAAGTTGGTTTTTTTCAGGTCAAAAGTAAAAACTGCAGGGTTAAAAAAAACTCAAACTAACAAAATCCATCAAAAAAACGCCAAACCCCATTAGAAGTCCTTCTGCTTCCTCAGCATGGTTAAGTAATTGGCTGATGTGATTAGGAGGTTGAATAGCGATGTTCTTGGTTGAGGAACACAATGAGTTTATTTGTGTGGTTTTTATTTTCAAAATGTTATGCCAAAACCGCCCTTTCAGTGGATTGTTCATAAAATAACTTTTTGATTCCATGCTGTCAGTTACTCTGTGCCTTGTGGTGGATATCGCTGGCCAGTGTCACTTGCTTTGCCTTTAAGATTCTCCATATGTAGCCTGTGTTAAGCTGGGATTTTTCAGTGGAGATTTGAGGTGCAACTCAAATGTGTATGAGATGAATTTTACAGAGACATGACTTGATTTCTCTCTCTCCAAAGGATATGCCGTTTATTCCACCTCTCAGCAGTGGCTCTCCTGGTACTTTTTTTTATGTTTCTTTGCCCATGCTTCTTCAAGCATTAAACCTCCTAAACATTTCATTTTTATTTTGTAAGATTACTTTTAATCAATTCTTTTTTATGATCCTATCTTGAGCTTCTGCAGCAGAAGTGGGTCTTGGAAAGGTTCTCCCAGGTCTGTCTGAGCAAGGTTTGGGTGCCTCTGATCTCCTCTGTCATTTAGTTTCACATCTGAGTGTTGCTTTGAAGTTGTCCTTTGGCAAATTGAACAGTTCAGTATGTCATTTTATCTCCACCACTCTCACCCATTTTCTCTTATTTCCAACTTGCTTACCTTATCTTGTCCTTGCTGGTACTTTGAAATTTAAGTGGTGAAACAGTGGCTGAGCACTGTAAGATGTGCCCCCATGTTCATGTCCCAATGTGCCCCCCAAGTCTCATCTCCTTCCCTTTATTTTTCTGGGTTCTTAATCCTTCTTGTATTAGCATTACTTTTTACCTCTGGTTACTCAATTATTGTTGTTCTTATTAATCTCTTCTTTTTCCCCTCAAGTTCATAAGATGACTTGTTTGCTTCAGGTTAATGGCACTAATTCAATTGGTCCTGCCCTCTGTTACTCTCCCCCACTCAGCACTTGGCTTCAGCAGTGCTAGATAAATAAGTGCAGTATTTGTGACAGTTTGGTTTAGCTCACATTGTTTGTGTGCTACTGAGGTGTGTTTGGACAGGAGGAAATAAATGTTTTGCCATTTGATGTTTAATCTTGTTTTTGTTTAAAATATTACTCCTCTTATGCTGTGAAAGCAAACATTACCAACAGCAATGTTAATAAGCTAAATAAAGGCTACAGATTTAGCCTGTATTTCCTAGATTAACATAAATCTTTCAGGATGTAGCAAATATTTTTAAATTTTGGACTGTTCATAGTCTTAACACATACTAAATGCTAAGTGCAGTCAAGCCATAGCAACATCCAGTCTGGGTGCTGAGTGTTTCTCTGTGGGGCAGGGCAAGAGGAAGTTTAAATAAGGGTGCATGAATTTCCTATTTTAATTATTATCAAAATTTCTTTGTCTTTAAGAGTGGGCTCTAGAGCAGTCCTGAGAATACTGGAAAATTATTAAATGCTTTGGGACACTGAGAGGAAGTTTAAAAGTACCAGAGTTGAAAAATTGTTCATATGTAGTGTACCTATAACTGAGTCTACATTCATAAGTCTGGGACAACAGGGAATAGTTTATAGGGAGAAGAAACTGAGGGCAGCTACCTTTTCAGAGTTTATTGCCAGTTTTTCCCCCATGATTTCAGTTTCTCACTGTCTCTAGTCCGTTGCAGCTCTTGTTTCATTTTCATTCTGTTCTTTAACAGTCTTCCTTATAAATATTTATTTAGGACTTTAAAGGGTGTGATGCAAAGTTTGATCAGCTGCATAGACTAGGGGGAAAAAAAACAAACACCAAATCACCCAAACCAATAAAACAAGAACACCACCCCATGCCCACTCTCCTTAACCCCCTGAAAGACCACCCTTATGTGCATATTTTAGAATGCCAGAAAAACCACAAAAATACAATGAAAACTCAGTGGGCTGGTTCTGTGCATGTGGAAATACCTAGAGTTCCACCTGTGTAGAACAGGAGGCAACACAAATGCCAACATCTTGTTCATTGGAGATGTACTGAGAGCATTATATCTCACTTTTCCACTGGAAGAGTTCCTGACTGTAGCTTTTTGAAAGTATGCTTTTGCTAAAATACAAAGCCTACCTAAATGATATAAATCACTGTGGTTTAGCTTTCAGAGAGAGAGCTAGGACATTTCAAATTAAGCAGAAATGGGTACCTTCCCACATAAATCCAGTTGGCATGTGTCTGCATAAATGAACAAATGTCTCGGTAACGCTAAATAATGCATGCATCTTGGATCAAATAGATGCTTAACTTAGCTTCCTTTGAGCTCAGAATGATTTGGCCAAGGACCTGTGAATGTTTGATTGGTAATTTTATGTCTGTGGATAGGTCATTAATATTTCAGATATTCTTCAAACTTTTGGGAGTTACTGCCTATGTTTCACATTTGGTTTGTTAAATTAATCAAATGATGGAAGTTTCAGGTATTTCTTTCTGTTTTACTTAACTGTCGTTACTTTATCAAAAGTGTTAGCATAGCCAACTGGAAACTGCTTTCTACTTGTTGTTATACCTTCAGGGTGCCTGTAATTCCATTGTTCTCTTTACCAGCAGGAAAAGTCTGTGAGGAAAAAAACATTTTTCTAGCCTTAACTTTTCTGGGCTCATTCGGATTTCCTGTCTGACTTTGGGCAATGGGCTTAATCTTGAATTAATTCCTACTTAGTTATTCTTGATTTTGTTTTTCTTGGGTATTTTCTGTATCAAAATCTGCTTCCATGTTAGGAACTGTTAAATCTAAGAATGAAAAGTTAAACATTATGGTATTGGTGTTGCTCCTGTCTATGCTCTTAAATTATAGTCTAGAAAGAGTTTTATTAATTTGTTAGTTATC